CAGAGGGGTCTCGGGTACCGGGAGGCTGGGGGGCAGCAGGGGACTGCAGAGGAAGGAGGTGCGCAGGGAGGGAGGGTGCTGGAGGGGTGCAGAAGGGATTGAGGGAACGAGGGGTGCAAGGAGGGTGAGGGGTGCAGGGTAGCACTGCTGCCCCGGGACCTGTCACAGGCTGTGGTCTCATGCACAACCCTGCCGACCCCTCCTGCACCCCAAGATCCGGCCTTTGCCAGGGTCCCCCCAGTCACTGCCCCTGCGAAAGGGGGTTGTGGGGAGCGAAGGATGCTGCTGGCACTCGGGTATCACAAAATTCACCTCTGCGGTGCCTGTGCGGGACGCGGGGTTATCTCTGGCCGATGAATCCCACCGCAAATGTGCCCCTTAATTCGGGGTGTAGCTGCACGTAGCGACTGTATTGTAGGAGCGGGTTTATAGCAGCTCGGCCACGCAGCTGCACTAATACACGCTACTTAATTTCCCTGATAACACCCCTGTGTAAACGCAGTCCGTGCATTAGGGTCCCTCTCCAGGCTTGTAGGAGCGTGCGGGGTCACAGCAACCTGCCAGCCCAGCCCAGCTCCAGGGCTGAGGCTGGGCAGACGTGCTGGGCCCAGCCACGATGCCCAGGAGTGCCCGAGGTTTGTCCCTTTGCAGCGGGAGAGCCGGGCTCTCCGGGTCGCTGCCGGGGTGATGGCACAGACCACTCGCACAGCACCAAAATGACCCACAGGTCTGGGACCATTAACCATAGACACGTGTTGACTTAATCATTACCAGCACATTTACACTTGTGAAACCGTTTCCAAAGCAATTCCCTTCTCCTCCCTCAGCGGAGAGCCCGGCTGGGTTGGTGGCTCCTCTGCCCGCGCTCTGCTCCTGGGTTAAAGGATGAAAACAACTTGTGAATAATCAGATTTAAAAGCATCTTGGTGCAAACTGGTCTGTACGTGGAGGTCCCCCGATGTAGCTCATGCGATGGTCCCCACGGGCCCATTTTGGGACCGCTCTGACTTCAGCAAGTCAAAACTTGTTTAAAGGAAATGACAATGTTTCAACAGTTACTGTTGTCCCTAATTAGACAAACCCATCGATGCCTCATGCTCTGCATGAGGCACGACGCTTTTGCGACAGCGTCTCCTCTCAGCATCTTCCAAGCGAAGCTGACGCTTAGCGCGCTCGTTAACGAAGGAGAGCAAAATATTTCTGCAGAACGCAAAGTTCCCGTAGCAAACTTTGCTTTTTGTGGGAGCTTGGGCTTCTGCTGGAAAACTTTTACAGCAGAAAATGCCCCGTCAGCTGGAAATCTGTCTGAGATCTGGTACTGATTCGGGCTGTAAAACACGCAACTTCGAAGTCGTGAGGTTCAACTTTGAAAATCCCGACCGTGCAACGGGAGCAGCACTAATCAGG